TCAAACTAAAGCGCCACTCTCGAATCTGGCTGTGTCCAACTGCAGCTTTCACGTCCATTCCTCTCCACGCAGCTAACCCCTTTCAAACAAAGGCAGATCGCTCCAAGGAGCCATGCCCGGAGGATCTCTACATCTGTTCTTACGCACCAACACTTTCGGCTCTGATCAGATCTAGAAAGTTGATGAAGAAGCGTATGCCTCCATCCTTTATAGCGATCGGACAAGGTCCACCAGGTGTAGGGAAAGGCAAGGTGCTATTGGCTGTTGACAGGGAGCTCGAGCTTGTCCATAAGCTCGTCCCTGCGACTGCCAACTGCACCACTATTTCTGGCGACGCAGCCACACGAGCAGGTGCACTCAAAGCTTTCCAGCAGAACACCTGGATGCACCTTGCCTGTCATGCCAAGCAGGACCCCACGCAGCCTTACAATTCTCATTTCGTCATGAGAGATGAACATCTGACGCTGCTCGGTATCATGGAGAGAGACATTCCGCACGCCGAGTTCGCGTTCTTATCCGGTTGTCATACCGCCGTTGGCGATAAGAAGACGCCCGACGAAGTCATTCACCTCGCAGCTGGTCTCCAGTTTTCGGGGTTCAAGAGCGTCGTTAGCGCACTGTGGGAGGTCGACGATGTTGTTGCAAAGCACGTCGTCCAAGCTTTCTATGAGAACATGTTCAAAGATTTGGAGGATGGTGGTGTCATGGACTGTACGAAGGCGGCCTGGGCACTCAACCGTGCTACTCACGCCGTGAAAACGAAAGTGCCGCTCGAGCAGAGGATGGTATTTATTCATATTGATGTGTAGTTCTATCTCGCATGGTTTTCATCAGGCTAGTCCCTAGTAGTACAAGCTGTTGACTCTTGATATTTGATCCCATTGGTGTACCCGGCCTGTTCCTTGATATTTGCTTTGTATCCCTTCTCGTGCTATCGTCTACTCATAGAAGCGTCTTTTGCAACTTTATTTATTGCTCGAGTATTTGAAGTACGTTCTTCATGCACTGTCGTTGCTGGGGGAAATGTGTCAGGAAGCAGGAAGAACGCTAGTCCTTAGGTTTGACTTATTGCAGGAGGAGTTGCCCTTCAATTTCAGACTGGATTCCTTCCCCCGTGTCACGAAAACAGTTTCGTCCACAAAACTCGTGCATTTCCTGCATTTGATTCACGTAAAAAAAGGGGTGCGATAACGAACATGAGTGATGGCGTGAAATTACTGTTTCATGGTCATTCCATTCACAACCCGCCTGTGGTGTAATTTGAGTTTGATGCATCTCTTCCATCGCTTTTCTCATTGAACTATTTATTCAATTTCTTTTCCAATCCCATCCTTCCCAAAGTTATTGGTTGCGCTCAAATTTCGTGGCCGAACAATGGTCAAAACACCTCGGCTCAACTATAAACATCATCCATCGCCTAAAATCGAGACAAAATCAGCGAGACTGCCACGATCAAGAGTGTTGAAACCTACACAGGCAATGCTGCAATATGACTTGAAGAATTGTATTGATAAACTGCGTCTTCCTTTGAGAGCCAATGGAAGTGCTTTGATCAACCGCGTTTTCCACCGAGAGGAACGAAATCTGTCGACAGCATCATCAGGAAAACCCTCCCCCAGGAAATTACTTTAAACTATGATAATTCTCGGTAATCCTCTTGAATTATCTCAAATTATGGGCTTTAGAATGATTACTTAGTTTAGAAAGACTTTTTTACTCCCTTGTATATAAAGGATAATTATCATGAATTCAAAGGCAATATCGAGAAATTCAGAGAATATATTTCGAACGTAGCATAGCGAATCGCGCACATTAGATGGTATTACGAGCAAAAAAGACTAATATTTGATCAAAGGATATACATAACACAGCCAACTTGGAGGACTAGGCAAATTAAGGTGTGATACACGAATCTGGGATGTTTACAGGTATAGATCAGCATGAATACAGGACCTAATCATCTGCCATTCCATCCAGGTCGAGTAGCCCCAGTGCATCTCGATGCTCATTAACGAAATGATCGTTCCCCTTCCGTTTCAAGGTCCTTCGAGTAGCAGAGTCAGTATCCGAGTTGAAATGGCACCATGAATACCTGTAAAACTTACTGTACAGCTTCGTAAATATCAGCCATCATGCAATGAAACTTTCCCGGTGCATCCCGCTTCAAGTCCTCGAGGAACTTGACATGAAACACATACGTCTCGCTGAATTGATTCCCTGTAAAGTTAAACTTCCCTGGTGAGCCGAGTGTCTTCCAGAAAAGGGCTGCATAGACCTGTAAAACGAATCAATATAGCACAGAGATTGGTAGAAAGGATGGTACCGCTGTTGCCACAAGTGCGAGTAACGGAATGGGGCATTCAGGACGATTGCCCTTGTTGTTCGCCAGTTTGGCAAAGCGCTCGACAAACTTGATGCCGATAGACTTCGGACCGCTAAAGACTGCCTCGTATATGAGAAAGATCAGCAGGTCACCCTGGTAGGGTTTTTTGCCTATGGGTGAAGCATCGTCGTTCAACTGTTGATGAAGAATGTTAGTCAGAGGCTAGCAGCGAAGACCGAAGGACAAATTTACTTACATCAAACTTCAATGCATAGATATACGCATGCTGCTCCATCAATTTCTTTGCCTTGACCACATTATTGCTGAGCCGAAAGTAAGTATCAATGTTGGTGCACGCGGCGACTTTAAGGTCACGGCGCAGTAACGGAATGCGAGGCTCCACCTCAAGTAATGAAAGATAGTTAAAACATAAGAAAAATTGAGACACGCAAAGGACTTACTAAACTAGCGAGGTGAGCCGCATACTGCGCATCGGTTTGAAGACGTTCTTTGATGGCGTGTACTCCACGATTCGCAGCCACTGTTAGTAGAGACTGCAGTGCAACTTGGTTTTGTCGACTAGCTCAGGATAAGCATCGACAAAGATGATGTAACCTTTGGCATCAATAATCGCATCCCGCACTACTCGCCGAGTCTCGTTATTTTGATCAAGTAATTTGACATGTCCCTTCTCCGTTCGAACGAGAGCAGCAACGGTCTGAGCCGATCGAGTCAGTGCAGAGTTGGGTTCCGGAGCACCTTCGACGTCGCTAGAGTAAGGCTCAGAGGACTCGCCACAAGCAGTAGTGGTTCCGTCAGTGGACTCAGCGTTGTCGAAATCGCGCCAGGTTGGAATCTAAAGATTGTGTCAGTTCAATACATAGTATACACCATGACTCACCTCTGCAGCTTGTTTGGCATCATGGGCAGACTGGGTTTTGCCACGGGATTTAACCTGCGTTGACTTCAAGTTGACTTTAACGTTGCCGACAAGCGAAGGGACCTTGAGACACGCCGTCACCGTGACTGTGGTGAGTACTACAGCTTATATTGAAGTAAACAACTTTCACTCACCTCGTCAGAGAGCATCATGGCGGTTGACTCCAGATCCCCAGGCTCACCCTCACTCTCCTCACGGTCAGCGTCAGAATCGCTACCATTTTCCTCCTCCTGATCTTCGTCAGACTCGAATAACGCAGAGACGTCACGCATGGCGTATGTGCGACAGAGTTTGCGAGGACGACCATAAATGGCTGTCACGTGTACACGGTCATGTGAGTAAGTTACACCATCATCATCATGACTAACCTTGAGGCCTCTGAGGCTTATCACGTTCCAAGTCCGCAAGGCTGCCATCAGATTCTTCGCCATCCTCCTCCTCGTCTTCTGTAACACTGGCGCTGGTATGTTTGCGCTCTATCATGGGCCACTAAGGTTAGTACCAATGTTTATGTTTCATTTGTGACTCACTCAGTTTCGCAGGTACTAAACCTTTGTTGCTACGAGCAAGGCTGGCAGTGGTTGGCGCGGGATCTACTTTCAAGTTTGTGCGCGGCACATTAACTGATTCGAGGTGAGTAGTTGGCTTATATGGCATCAAACAAAGATCACCGATGCTGATCTTTTTCTCTTTGACTTGTTTAGGCTTCGCAATGGCAGCTGATGGTGGGTCTGGAGACGCCTCAAGTTGACGAGCGACTTTCCTTGCCGACTTAGTAGGCATCCATACTCAAGTTGGAGGTGAGTATCAATTTTTCGGTCAAGACTCGCATGCTTACCTGCATTTTCCATAGCCTTTTTCTTTGCATTTCGCGGCTCTATGGACACCCAGTGAGTCTACTACGCTGATGGTGAGTTGTTGGCGTGGACTCGTCACTCACCACGAGACTGAGGAGGTGCGGACATTGTATATAGATTGAAAGGTGCGACAACAAGCTAACGAAGAACGTTGGAAGGAAAAAGAGTCGAGCCTCAGACTCGGAGGGCTCCGTGAAATTTTAGTGCGTGGCCCCAGTTTCAAGGGGCGTCGCCCAGGGAGGCAGTTGAAATGGTGAGCTCATTCCATGCGCCCAGGTTCATATAAGCTGACACTCGTTACCTCAGGTGTTCATTTGTAACTTTGTTTTGAAATTTTCAAAGGACGGCCAGGATTGTCTGGCGCTTATCAGTGCTGGAATCAACAACCACATCACGGCCAACCAGCACTGGAATCAACAACCGCGTCACGTTACCTCAGGTGTTCATTTGTAACTTTGTTTTGAAATTTTCAAAGGACGGCCAGGATTGTCTGGCGCTTATCAGTGCTGGAATCAACAACCACATCACGGCCAACCAGCACTGGAATCAACAAACCGCGTCACGGCCATCCAGCACTGGAATCAACAACCGCGTCATGGCTGACCAGCGCTGGAATCAACAACCGCGTCACGGCCGACCAGCTGGTTGTACAGGCCCTGGATTACCTGAACCCCCCTTGATTAGGTTAGTGGGATGTCCTCATGGTGCTGTCGTTACGGTCTCACTCCCCAGAAGTTTTCGCTCCCTGAAATTTTAGCATCGCGCACTCAAGGTATATCGTCTTACAAGGTGTATTGTTCATTGGAGACTGATCCACCTCCTCTACTCTAGTTCTACTCACACTCAAGGCCCTTATCTCCAAGATCGCAGCAACATAGCTATGTCCACTCAATGCCCTGCTTGTTCCCGTGACGATTTCACGGTAACTGGTCTCAGTCAACATCTGGCCAAGAGCCGCAACCCACATTGTCGAGCACTGTACCATCAGTCGCGCTCCCAAGTACATACCAGGGACCAACGAGATGAGCCTGACGAGCCGACTGCAGAAGACGAGCCTGGGTACGAGGTTGACGAGTTTGGGTATGAGATTGACGAGCCTGGGTACGAGGTTGACGAGCCTGGGTACGAGGCTGAGGCTGGGGGCGAGGCTGAGGCTGGGGACGAGGATGATGATGAGGGGTGGAATTTTGAACCTGAATGGGAGCCTCCCGTTGAAGATCGAGTCGAGGACGCGACCATGGATGCCATCAAGGATTTGGCCGATGAAGATGAAGCTGGCTGGGAAGATCAACGCCGTGCTCACCAGGATATTCAAGCACGTGTGCAAGGGCAGCGTGGTTGCGTGGTGGTGCCCTACCCAGATCTGCGTGCTGGTCAGCAAATAACACGCGGTTGTGCTGCAAACGCAGAATACGAGGCGCATCTGGCCAATGAGGAGGAGAATGTGTATCACCCTTTTGCATCCAAGATGGAATGGGAGGTCGCCAGATGGGCCAAGCTTCGTGGTCTGAGTTCGACGGCATTGTCAGATTTGCTTGCAATCGAGGGGGGTGAGTTGGATACTATTTGTTCCGAAAGTCATTGTACTAACTAATGATTTTGATTCTCAGATCAGTGAACGCTTATCACTCTCGTTCAAGAATGCGAATGAGCTGAACACTATTGTCGACCATGGGCTTCTGACTGGCCGTCCTAAGTTCAAACGTGAGCAGATCGTGGTCGCTGGAGAAGCGTTTGACATCTATTATCGCGACGTCATCGAATGTGTCAAGTCGTTGTATGGTGATCCGGACTTTGCCAAATATCTAGCATTTGCGCCTGAGCGGCATTATTCTGATGAAGACGAGACGATTCGTCTCTTTCATGATATGCACACCGGCAAATGGTGGTGGGATACACAGGTACGAATGACATTATGTCTGTATGAGATATGATACTTACAATACTTTAGAAAAAACTCGACAAGGATAATCCAGGCGGCACCATCATTCCCATCATTATCTCGTCCGACAAAACACAAGTCACATTGTTCCGCAACAAGTCCGTCTATCCTGTGTATCTCACCATTGGCAACATCCCGAAGGAAATACGACGCAAGCCTTCGCGTGGGGCACATATACTTCTAGCTTATTTACCTTGTACACGCCTTCAGCATATCACCAACAAAGCTTCACGCCGCCGGACTTTGGCAAACCTTTATCACGCATGCTTGCGTCGTGTTCTCGCTCCGCTGAAGTCCATAGGAGTAGATGGACTTCGTATGGCTAGTGGGGATGGTGCCCTCCGCCGTTGCCACCCATTATTTGCCAGCTTTGTGGGGTGACTACCCAGAACAGCTTCTTGTGACTGGGATCAAGTTTGGAGAGTGCCCAAAATGCGACGTGGACGCGGACGACACGGGGTAGCAACACGGCTCCTTTTCATCTACGGAATCTAACCAAGGTGCTAGATGCCCTCGCTGCCCTTGACGAAGGGAATCTATCATTTGTACGTGCTTGCGCGGCAGCAGGCATCAAGCCCATTGTCCATCCTTTCTGGGAAGATCTCCCATTCACCAACATATTCCGTGCAATCACACCAGACGTGTTACATCAATTATATCAAGGCTTGATAAAGCATCTCTTAGGTTGGTTATCAGCCGCGTGCGGAGGAGCCGAAATTGACGCTCGGTGTCGCCGTCTTCCTCCCAATCACCATATACATTTGTTCAGCAAGGGTATCACCTGCTTGTCGCGTATAAGCGGAACTGAACACGCTCAAATCTGCCGTTTTCTCCTTGGCATCGTCATCGGCATCCGTTTGCCCAATAATCTAAATGCGGGCCGTCTTCTACGAGCAGTGCAAGGCCTACTGGACTTCCTCTATCTTGCTCAATATCCATGTCATAGCTTGGAGTCACTACAGCTCCTGGATGACGCACTCGACCTTTTCCACAAGAATAAGGATATCTTCATTGACCTCGGTATCCGTTCTAATTTCGATTTACCTAAACTGCATGCCGCTCGCCACTATTCTGCCATGATTATGATGTTTGGTACGACGGACAACTATAACACTGAGTATACCGAACGACTTCACATCGATTTCGCGAAGGACGCTTACCGTGCTACAAATCACAAAGATGAATTTGTGCAGATGACGCGGTGGCTCGAGCGCAAGGAGAAGATTATGCGCCATGACAAGTATATCAACTGGCGATGTGCTGGTGCCGAAGAGACTATGCCTTACCATTCGCGCCCCCCCAATATGACTTTTCGTCGGCTTCAATCTGTTTCAAAGCACCCTACTGCAAAGGCCGTCAGTATAGACAAGCTCATCGAAGATTACGGTGCTACCTATTTCCGTGAAGCGCTTGCACGCTATATCACTCAACTCAATCATGCCAGTGATCCTATCCCCCTCCGTAGTCAAACACTGGATGTGTTAGCGCAGGACGTCCATTTCCCATTCCGAACTCTCCCCGTTTTTCACAGGGTAAAGTGGCTCTCAGTAGACGCTCGTGGTCACGGTGATGCAACAGCCACGTTGGACTCTGTACATGCCAGACCACAATGCAACTCAGGGTCGAGTCTGCGGCCTCGCCGTTCAGATACTGCTCTGGTGAGTATTTCTGGGAATCCAAGATGTTGTTAGTATAGAAGGTACGTTTCGCCACCACTATTTGCTAAGGATGGAGTCACTCACAGTCGTCTGAATCTAGGAGTCCGCGTTGGGCAAGTGCGAGTCATTTTCTCGTTACCCTCAAAATCAGTTCCACTCCTGGTTTTCGCCAACAGTCAAGGTTTCCCACTCACTTCGCTTACATCGAATGGTTTTGAACCATTCACTTCGGCTCCCGATCGACATCACGGACTTTACAAGCTCTCGCGATCATTGCGCGGTGGTGGAAAAAGTAGCAAGTATCGTGCCATTGGCCAATATTGTGCGTAGTGTCCATCTGATGCGAATTTTGGAGCTGTTGTCCCGCGAGAGTGGACGAGTGATACGGTTCTCGATAATTGTAATACTTTTTGGTTGAATTCATACATAGATAGATATACTTTTTCTTTATTCAAATGATTATCGAGAATCTCATTGTGCTTTATCGTCTTTCAGCTAGTTTTATCTTAATACTTGTAATTACATAGAATTCTCTGAATTACATCGTTTTATCAAAATTATGTGTTTTTTTCCTCGGGTTTTTCCTGATGATCTCTCAGAGCCTCCCTGATAGCAGCCTCATCCACGGACGTCATGTATTGCTCGAGAGCATCATTCAGAGGTGACCGGACACTTGCTGGTCCCGCTGATAGCGTGCTGGTCCAAGACGGAAAGAGCGTTCGAAAATAAGGATCACAGCTTGATCACGATCAAAAGGGGTCATTCTATCTCATGTAAAAATTTACCAGCCCGAGCTGAACAACTTCCTCCAATGTTGATGATCTGTTGATAGGTGATCCCAGAGCACTGAGCCGGTTCCAGATAGATATATCTAACGGTTCCAGTTCTATGTACCTTAGCTGCCACTGTTACTGACTGTCATCCACCCTAGTTACTGACCATTTTTCTCTTTGCTACTTAAGGATGGCTAGACGCTACACCCGCACCTCAGTCTTTCTTCCATTGACTGAGGTGCGTATACCATTCACATTATACTATACATGATACTTACTAGCGCCCTACAGACTCGCGTTACCTTAGGTTAGCATACATGAACTAGTCTTTCTTCCATTGACTGAGACTCGCGTTACCTTAGTTCTCGCTCTCTAACAGGTTATGAGCCCTGCCTAAAGGGTAGCGCCATCTTCTCCTCAAAATCTCTCATTCCCGCCGATAATACTCGGCTCTGACGTTACCATGTCGTCTTCGGACTCCCTTCCCAAAACTGAACGATATCCGCATGAGAAGCTCACCCTCGACGGATCCAACTATTCTCAATGGGCCACTGGCTTTAAAATGTGGTCCGGCGGCATTGGGCTATGGCCATATGTCAACGGCGACGAGAAGGAGCCATCCCCCCCCAGCCACACTCACGGACGTGGATCAAAACATCATTCGCGCAGAGAAACACGCTGAACGAGTACAAGTCTATAAACAACGCCGACTTCTCGCCCTCAGCGCTATGTCCACGGCGATTGATGCGCAGGACTTCGTCCACCTCCGCGATATAGATGACCCGCACATGGCGTGGATTGCTCTAGAAAAGAAGTACCTTCCCCAAAAGGCTATTCGATTCAATCAATACCTGGACCGCCTGTTCACCATTCCCAAGGCGCATGATAGTTCCTCCATCGCCCAAACTATGCAAACCCTCACCGTGCTAAAATCCGACCTTGCAGCTCTCTCTGTCACCACAGCAGTCGCACCCTCCACTTCCAGTGTCGTTACAACTGCGGCAAAGGACGAGTACAAGATCCCGGACGCGATCTTCGTGCACGTCCTGTTGCGCACCCTACCTGACTACTACGACCCCCTTCGTCAAACCCTCGTCAACAGCGATACTTCGCTGGACTTCAGCGATGTCGTCAACCGCCTGAAGACTCAGGAATTACACCGCGCTGGAACCAGTGGCAGTGACCATGTGGCCATGCTGTCTGGACATCGAGGAGGAAACTCCTCCAACCCCAAGACCAGCGATCGTGTCCCGCCGAAAGGTTTTGATGAGACAAAAGGAGATGGGTGGATAGTAGGATGGCGACCTAAGTGCGGCCATTGTCAAAAGGCCGGCCATGTCTGGGTACAGTGTCGCGCACGGCTCTCTAAGGACGACAAAACTCCAAAGTCAGCACCTCGTCCTTCCTCCCCTGCCACAACCGCCGCTAACCCGGTGCCCTCCCTGCCAGACCCAACTGACGAGTCTACCATACCACCTCCATTCGTCCTTACGCTGAAGGATCACTCAGCCAGTATCTCATCAGCCCTTGCTTTACCGGCTGGGTCCTTCCACGTAGACTCTGCCTCGACGGCTCACATGGAGCCTGAAATATCACGC